GTGTCATTTGAGGATATTTCCAGCTTGGTTGGGACCCATCTTGAGTTGGCAACTTGGCACCAATTCTAGGATCAATTTGGACCTGGTTAAAATTTGATTAATTGGGATTGAAGGTTTTTATTATTATTTTAGGATTGATATTAATTGGAAATTTGGGACCTTCTTTCTAATATTCCCTTTGGAACTTTGCAGTTTGAATGGGCCTGGCAGAACCCAACTGTATCAAAGGCAGTTAGGCAGGCTGCTGCAAGCTTTAAATCCCTGGGAGGGCTTGTCAGCAAGATCAAACTTGCATACACCATGCTCACCCTCCCTCCTTGGCAGAGGTATCATCTTATTATCTTCCTTGTGAGTTGTGAATGGATGAATATATATACATATGCTTTGTTGTTATTTATGGAAAGTGATATTGTTTGTATGTATCATCAGCTTGAACATCACTGTAAACTTCTTTTCAACCCAGTACACCAAACATTCTGCTGGTTGTCTACGCCTGCCAGAACAGATGAAGGTCAAAGTCTGCTCCATGGATGAGCTTCCTTCCTGTACCAAAATGTCTGATGGCCTTTTTGAAAATGAAGATGAGTGGTGTAATGAAAGGGAATTTGATGAACATACGAATACCAGTACACTACACGAAGAAACAATGTCGGACCACATGGCTCATAATTCAACAGATGATCAGCAGAATGATAGTGGCAAAAGAATTAATGAAGTATGCAGTAAAGAAGTAGGAGAAGATGAGTGGTATAATGGAAGAGAATGTGATGAAGCTATGAATGATGGTACATTACAGGAAGAAACATTATCAGATCTTATAGTTCAAAGATCAGCAGATGATCAGCAGGACAATACTGGCAAGACAATTAACAAAGCATATCGATGCAGTCAAGAAGTAGGAGAGGATTGTACAGAGCAATTTGGTTTTATCGCATCGCCAGTGAGAATGCCATCTTCAAATGTCACTACCTCATTTGACACAGAAGCAACTAAAGATATAGGATCTGCTGATGCCATTTGTGTTAAATTGGGCCGACCTGCAATGGAACAATTGGAACAATTGACGACTATAGTTGCAGACGATGATCGGTCGCCCAGCAGAAGCTATCTCCGGCCTTGTGGAGCTGAGGTAATAGATTTGACAACCCCGGCTCCCCTATGCAGAAGCCATTTATGTGGCAAGAAGAGTAGAGTTGCTTCTGTTTATCCTCAGATTATTGACTTGACTAAGTCTCCCAATTTCATCCAACTATAGAATGTTGGACTTGGACATGTATACTACAACAATCAAACAAGTTTATATATGTTTGATGATTTTAAGATTTGGTCTAATAATTTAGAGGAATTTATTGTCATCTTTGCCTGATGGCACATTGTAATCACAATAGTAATAGCTTTCTAATTCAAGTCTTACAGTTCGAATGAAATAAAAGATCTTTTTCACTCACTTGCTACATTTCATTCTGTTATTGTATATCACATTTCATCTGGTCTATGAATTATATATGAGACTGGAAGATGTGCTGTGTTGCTAATTCTTTGTTGACATACTGGTGTTTATGTTATAAAAAATATATTTTTTCTCTTTCCGTAAAGTCATATACAAAAACCTTTATGTTATAAATAACATATAAAATTGAAAAGCTATTAAAGTGCAATGAAACTGAAGAAAAACAAATTGATAGGTAAGTAAAAGCAAAATAAATTATAAGTAAGAAGGTGAGCTTGGTACGGTGAAGCACGTCAAAGACGATGTCCTAAAGCCTTTGTAGCCTCCCTACATGCAGGTATTGATGGTCTACAAGACTCCAAGATACGATCCCTTGTACAAAAACTCAAGATCCGCTATGAGCACGTTCATAGACAGATATAGGTATCCAAGTCACAGAACCATTGCCCAAAATAATAATATAACTAGAGAAAGTATAAAAAGTAGAAGAGGAGAGAATCATATTGTGGTGGTGATTGTGATATGTGATATTCTGATGGTGTATTGTGGTTGTTCAAATGTGAAGGAGGAGTGGCCTTTTATAGGCATCCAATAACATGTAACCTTCACCACATTAAACTAGAAAATTAAGGCATTCAATATAGAAATAAAACCTGAAAATTAAATATTTATAACCCGCACAATAAATAAAATAAAACAATCAAACTAATTAAATAAATCAAAACGGTTAAATTTTAAAACCTTTTTTAAATGAGTTTTTCTATTTGAATCCCGTACTTCTCTTTACCCACCGTACTTCTATTTAAACCTTTTTAATTAGACCGATTTTAAGTTACAACTAGCTAGCAAGAACCTTTTTTTTCTTCTGTCCAAACATTTAAAAAGTTATCAAGTATAATTCAAGAGAATAGCTCTAATATTTGGTCAAATTAACAAATTAAGAGTAAATTTATTGGACAAATAGAATCAGTTCATTGATATGAATCACTTTATAACTCAAAAGGTAAACAATCAAAGAAATTAAAGCCGATCAAAATCGTGGTACAAGTATATTCAATTCTCAGTTCTCTGCATTGCATACAGTGAAAATTAGACAACTACAACTATCACTTGTGGAATTAATGTCTTATATACCAGCTATGAGCTCATCCATTAACGATTGGGATTCAGTTACACTAGCTGCTGTCTGCTAATGATTGGTTGCCCGCATCCTCAATGTTACTTGGGTTACAAACTTTCACTACTTGGGTTTCACCAATTTCGAAGATAGTCGGATCAACATCGTCATAGAACACAAGATCAACACCAATTAGACAGTCAACTAATGATTGGTTGCCTACATTCTCCAAGTTACCTGGGTTGCAAGCTTCCTCTTCTTGGGTTTCACTGAGTAGTTGTTCAACGGTGAAGATAGTATTATCCTCAAAGAATGTTGGATAACTCGGGTCAACATCATAAGAGCGCACAAGATCAACACCGGTTAGACTAGAATAAAATCCTTGTTGTACATGTGATGATGATTCTGTTGATCCCATTTGATGATCCTTTTTCATATTTTTGTTTGTGCTCCTCGTCTTTTGTACTTGATCTTGTGATGGACGCTTTAAATTTGTTTCCTTGATTTCGGCCCTATCATTCTTCCTCATCCGACAAATGACGAAATCAAAATCATAACTACAATCAGTGTAGTCATTCTTGGGACCATCAAAAAGACTATATTCATCTAGTAGCCACCTTGTGTGGTCCTCGAAACCTTGATTCTTGTAGCAAAAATTTCTCTTTCGGCCAATGGGGTTAACGTTAGGGTTTCAATTCAACCAATTTGGAGGATTCTATTTCACTCCAAGTACCGCCTTGGCCAACCCTACGATCCATGTGCTTTGGGGTTAACCTCTTGAGCTCAAAGATGAAATATACAAGTCTTGATCAACAAGTTGAGGCCCTCCGTACTCCTTCCAAATCTCGGACAACTCTAACTTAGGCATGGAAGACGTTGTGGTATGGTGGCATAACATTAACGGCTTTCTCTCTACCAAAAACTTGTAGAGAAAGAAACCCACAAGCTTTTGGTCAGTGGGGTGAAAATGGAACCTAACGGCACGTTCTCATGTGCCATTTGCTTATTGCTAATTAACTAACAAAAGAGAAGAGGGTTTCTAAGTTTCTCTCTGTGTTGTTGCTTAAGTTTTGGTGCGGACAAAGAGCAAATGTTCTCACCATTATTTATAAGCAGTGAGTAATAGTAGGGTTTCTAAGTTTCTTCGGTGAAAAGGGAATAGAAATCCATATGAAATGTGGAAACTCATGTTTTTGTTTGTTTCATTATTCGAAAGAAAATTGGAAAGTCAGTTTTTTGAAAGAAATTTTGAGATCCAACGGCAGTGGTAAGTAAGTAGTGTTTGTGAACTTCTAACTTTGAGATCCAACGGCTTATTGTGCGAGAGTTAATATGGGAGAGAGAGATCGTGTCTGAATAGTTAGTGATGCTGCTTCAATTTTTTTTTTTGTCGCATCATTTTTGTTTAATGTTGTTGTTGTACTCGTATACATTTTAAGTGAAATAATATTGTGTTTGTAGAATTTTATTTTATTTTTATATATTTTAAAATGTTCAAAAAATAAATCACAAAGGTACGAGTAAAAATTAACTTTTTTTTTTTGTAGAATTTTATTTTATTTTTATATATTTTAAAATGTTCAAAAAATAAATCACAAAGGTACGAGTAAAAATTAACTTTTAAAAAAAAAAACCACAACAAAAAGTTAGAGTTAAATCATTCTTAAGCAATTTAATAAAGTTGCAAACTCAAATTTTGAGTGAGAAAATTTGGGGAAAAAACTATTTCATGAGGTAGGATTTGAGATCATCTTAAAGTTAAATGCTTACGATTCATAATCTCTGTTTCATCATCATTACATTTATCTAATGCCATAATTATCTGATGTTTCTTCATTATTATTGCAAAACTCCTTTGATGTCAAAGTTAATTATGATTTTTTTCTTGACAAGTTGAAGAACATGAGCAACTAATCTTGTTAGCATATACAGATTAGACCACTTAGATAAGGCAGTGTGGCAGTCCCTTTCACCAGAGTTAGATCCTCCCTTTTGTACTTTAGAGTAGTTTAGATTTGTTTAAAAAATTAATATTTTTAAGGAAATTCACCGGCAGTGTGGCAGTCCCTTTCACCAGAGTTAGATCCTCCCTTTTGTACTTTAGAGTAGTTTAGATTTGTTTAAAAAATTAATTATTAATATTTTTAAGGAAATTCACTAAATCTATAATCATGTCTATGTTATAACTCTTATAAAATTAGTTGACTCTTGATGTACTAATAGTAGAGAAAAAGAGAATTGTTATTAACACTGCATAATCTCCCATAAATTTAAATAAATAAAAAAAGTTGACTAGTAATAATACACATAAGGAAACATATTCATAGAAATCCTTCTGTGGTGATATCCTTGTGCAACTATAATATTGGGACTTTTCTTTCTCTGTTTTTTTTTTTTATAATAAAAGACAGTTGAACTTGAGATTAAATAGAATTTTTTTCAAAAAAAGGAAATGTTCCCATTCTCTCATGCTCTCATCTCTGTAGTAACAATCCAAAGGAGAGAAAGAAGGAAAGATCATTTGCTCATATCTTTTTGTCCTGGTTTGGTTGAGGAACACATCCCAGTACTATAAAAAGAGAAAACCACAAGGGAATTTAAATACACCAACACATTGGGCCCCTGTAAGATCCAAGCCCCATGTTGCAAACTTCAAAAAATCATAAAGGTTTGCAGCCTGCAACAAAGATCGCAATTTCTTTAATTGAAAAGCAAAAACCTACGGCCCGTTTTGTGCTAGAGTATAGAAGAAAAGGAGGAGAATGGAAGTGAGAATGAGAGTGGAAATGGAATTGAGAGGGAAGATGAGAGGAGAGGATGAGAAGGAGGAGTAACAAAAGTGGAAACAAAAACAAAAAACAGAAATCTATTTCAAATTGTTTTCACTTTCAAGATTTTGTTTTCACTTTTGTTACTCCTACCTCTCATCCTCTCTCTCAATCTCATCCTCACTTCCATTCTCACTCTCATTTTCCTCTATACTCTAGTACAAAAAATGAAAACTAAAAACTAAAATTGAAATGGTTGTCAAACGGGCCCTAAACTAATTAACCATAGATCTTAGTAAGTGATGCTCATGTAAACCACACACTGCATAATAGTTCTCAATAAAATGAAATAATCTAAGAATGAGATAAAAATGATTGCAGAGATCATAACCAGGGATTTAACTGCTTCATGTCTTGTTGATTCTGTGCCCCTGTTACGTTGTGGCATCATTTGGTGTTGAGAATTTTGAAAGTTGTTTGAATACCAGTTCTTCTATAATCCTCAATCAATCCAGAAATATTACAATCAAAGCCGCAACCAAAGCATGATGGACAGATCCGGGAAATATAGTCAATCGAAACTTTCCCCTCTTTGGAAAAAGCTGGTGCAATTTGTACATCAGACTAGTCTGCAACAAGACATAACAAAAGAAATAAGACTATATCACATAACCAAGAAATAACACCTTACACAAATTTCTAAGAACAAAACGATTCATGAAAGAAATATCTAAAGATCTGTGTTATTGGACTGCTAGATTCACCACTTTGCAAGTTCAAAAGCCGTAATATCTAGTAACTTTGAATGTGCATGCTTAAACAAGACACTTCATGAACATGTTACCACAACACTCTTCTATGATAATCGAGTACCAAAGAGCTTGCTTAAATCTTTATACACGGGATCTGAGAACTTGTTAATTCATATCACCCATGGTGAGTAATTTGTTAACTTCAACCTGATTACAATAACTATGCAAAGGGCTCCATTTAGGTTCAAGAAAGATGCTGATCCAAGGATACTACATTGATCCCATAATTCAATTTTCCCAAATAATAGACCAGAGCAATGATATATTAACTGGGTTGCAAAAGCCATCTCCAAAGACAATAGTTGTGCTGATGAACTTTCATGCAACAGTCTTCAAAGACCCATTGTTGGTTAGAATCCTAAAAGGTGTACCAAGTTTGAAGTACAAATTCCCTTCACCCAATAATCATATGCAAGAGCAACTCATACAACTCTTTCACTTGAATGAACTAGCAGTCATTTTTCAAATGTGTATCCCTCTCTCATAAAGCAATCATACCTGAGCAACTATGTCATTGCCTGTGTAGATTGTGCAAGATCTTTGGTAAGGGAAGCCTTTCACTTTGAAATCACAGGTTGAATCTGCTGAATTCTCACCAACAAGAAAAACCTCCAACTCAGTTCTGGTAAGTTTACTTTTCGTCCTCTTCACTCTGAACACCAAGTCCTTCTCCCCAGCATCACCACCCTTATATCCTTGCCAACATCCCTTCTCAACTCCCCAAAAAGAAAAAATTAGTACCCAAAAGTAAAAAACAAAAGAACAAGAAAAGCTTTAAGGAAAACATTCTCAGGAAACAAACAGAGGCCAGAGGGGAGACTCACATCGTTACGGCACAAAGCAAACAGAGGATTTCCGGCGGCGTCAAGCAACACACGCTTATTAGATGAAGACGTCAGAGATTGACGAGTGACCTTGTAAACGGTGTTACCAGAAGAATCAACGAAACCCAATTCACCACGTGGCAAGCCAGGATGTTTCTTGGACACAAAAAGATCGACCGGGATTTGTGAATTCGTGCAGGAAACAGGAACTGATGTTTCCATTAAGTCAGTCATGTTGTTGAGACCAATTTACAGAAGCAAGGAATTCATTTGAATCCCAGAGCATGATAAACCAAAACTTTGAGAGCAAAAGAGAGATAATTTGGTGTTGAGACAATTGGGTTTTAGAATTTGGCGTGGAAACAAATGGGTTTTGGTCTGACAGGTGGAAAAAATCAGAGCCTGGTTCTTCAGCCGGCTTTATTACAAAAGAGAAAGCCGGTGACTTGGAACTGAATTTTCCAGCTCGACTTGGTCCCAATTGGAAGATGAGACCTTAGATGTTGGAATAAATTTAAAGCGTATAGCCGAGCGTATAGCCGGTCGGCTATACGCGGCTATACTATTAAAATATTCAGAGTTTAGCCGATCGGCTATACGGTTTATAGATATTTTTAAACATGCTTATGTATTTAAAGTGTATAGCCGCGCGGCTATACTCTTTAAATAGGAATTTTTAAACATTCGAATATATTTAAAGAGTATAGCCGATCGGCTATACTCTTTAAATAGATATTTTTAAACGTGTATATATATATATTTAAAGAGTATAGCCGAGCGGCTATACGCTTTAACTATATATTTTTTAAACATTCGAATATATTTAAAGCGTATAGCCGCGCAGCTATACTCTTTAAATAGATATTTTTAACATTCGTATATATTAAAACGTATAGCCAGGCGGCTATACGATTTAAATATATATTTTTAAACATTCGTATATATTTAAATAGTATAACCGAAACATTCGGATATATTTAAAGCGTATCGCCGCGCGGCTATACTATTCAAATAGATATTTTTAACATTTGTATATATTAAAACAATATAGCCACACGGCTATACGCTTTAAATAGATTTTTAAAACTATTTAAAGTGTATAGCCGCACAGCTATGCACTTTATATATATATTTTCAAACATCCGTATAAATTTAAATTGTATAGCCGCGCGGCTATACTCTTTAAATATATATTTTTAAACATTCGTACACATTTAAAGAGTATAGCCGCCCGGCTATACGCTTTAAATAGGTATTTTTAAATATTCATATAGATATACAGTCCCGATCTCTTGGACCACAGGAGTTCAAGAGATTGTGGTCACCCACCGTTGGATATAAATCCAATGGTTCAAAAAAGTTTCTTAAAAGGAGTGCAAGAGTGAGTGAACCGTTGAATTTACATCCAGTGGTGAGTGACCACAAATCTTTTGGACCCCTGTAGTCCAAGAGATTGGGACTGTATATATATATTCGTATACTATATACTCTTTAAATATTCCTATATTTAAAAAGTATAGCCGTGCGGCGGTATTATTTAAAAATTCAAAAGTTATATTTTTAAGAATTTTTGCGTTGTGCTATACTATGTAAATCCTCTGCTTCATCAAGCCACCCAATTACAAAAGCTTTCAAATCCTAGAAGAAAATTAGAAAGAGAAAGGAAACCCAAGAAAACTATACACCATGTTAAAAGGAATAAACACCACCACCACCCATCTTAATCTGCTATAAACACAACTTCTTCACTCCTACCACCATCACTAACATTATTAATAATAATAGAGGGAAATAATATACACTCGAAATAGCCATACCTAAAATAAGTTTGCTATTCAATTTACTACTAAACTGGAATGACATCATTCTTTGATCCATCATCGCATCTCAAAACAATACCCTCAAGGCTAGCTGGAAAGATACATTTGGCCCACTGACATCCTGTCGTGATCGGCAAAAGGGGAGGAACGATCATCATCACATTGTCATTTCTCTGGACAACTCCCATTACACTAACTGTGCTTCCTTCGTCGTCATTATCATCTTTGTTGTGCTTAACTGACCCGAGCAGAGTTGGAGGATGCTGCTGAGTTGTTTTTGTTTTATTGTAGTTACTGTTGTTGGTGGTGCTGGTGATGGCTAACGGTGTGGATGAGGAAGATGGGTCTTTGGACCCAGGAGAAGAAGGACATGGAGATTTGGAATTAGGGCTGGGTTCTTCCTTCAGAGTTATGACCGAGACCTGAAATCAACGAATTCCAAGACCCGGCGTCTCTTCTTGACATGTTACTAAACAATTCAATTGCTTCCAGTGTTAAGTGAGACCAACACAACCCAGAAATCATGCTGTTGGTGGCAATGACATCTCTTTGAGGCATTTCATCAAATACAAGCCGAGCTTCTGTGATATTGTTGCATTTAGAGTACATGTCAAGAAGGGACGTCATTAGAATCATGTCTCTATTGAACCCATGTTTGATCGCCATGCAATGAAATTGCTTGCCTTCTTTAATGGCAGCAACTCTTCCACAAGCTCGCACAATTGCTGAGAGAAGAAACTCTGTGATTTTGAACCCATTTTTCAGGACTTGATGAAACAAAACTATTGCTTGACGACTTTGCCCCTGGTGTATGAGATTAGTGATTGTCTTGGCATTTGATAAAGTTCTATGCATCATTTTACTCAAGGTTATTTTGGGAATTGAGTGGAATAGATTACAGTCAAACCATGGCAACCTTCATTTGATATTTTGAATGGATTCTTCATTCTGGCTCTAAACATGATAATTTTACTTATGTAACCCATACCCACCTATCAAAATCCATAATATCCATTTTACCCTTTTTATTATTTACTTGACTTTTTTATTTTATTATCAAATCATTATTTACTGAAATGAAAACTTATTTATTTTTCTCCTCTTATCATTAAATATTCAAATAAATCCAAAATTGTCCTCATTTAAGATCAAGAAGCTAGTCAAATTATATAGGGGACTGATTTTCCCACTCTATTTTTATCCACTTATACTCCATTTTTCTAAACAAAAATAAGTGTATGTGGATAAAAGGGGAGTGGGAAAATCATTTACCATTCTATATGCTCTATGTTGATTCAATTATTCAGATTACATGCTAAGTCCAAATGTCCAATACAAGGGGTTCTAACAACCTTCTACATAGTTTGTGACAATGTCAACGTACTCTCATTTAAGATAAATGAAAAGAATTCCATCTGCCATCTAGTAGCGTTTTTAATAGATTATTTAATGGACCTTACGGTGGAGGTAATGTGAGTTATTTTAACTTCCTAGGGACGATGTGAGATTTGACCATACTTTCAAGGGCACTAGTGTAATTAAGCCTATAAATAATGACCAATGGGGATGTTAGTTGGACTCGCCCAGACTTTTGGTGTGCTCCCAAGTGGCCTGAAGTTTCAACCCCCATGGTATTCGTGTGTGTGAGTTTCCCCCTCCCCTTCTTAACTTTGGCTATAAAAAAAATTCTAGATTATAAATAATGCAAATTCTTGTTCTTAAAAAAAAAAAAAATTATCGTCCATGAAGCATCATTCTGCTCTTGGAGACCCAATTCCACTATATTCATGCATTGAGCTTAGCCTGAATAAATTCATGAACATCTTGAAAATGTCCGTCTATGTAACCTTTATAATTCTTTGTAGATTCTCTCCTTTTTTAGGTCAGAAATTTCTTCGTAGATTTACTTTCACATATAAGATGGCAGAATTGCTATGAAAACTGATAAGATATGCAAAAAGCTACGTATTTTGGTAATAATTTATAAAATTTATTTACCAAACGTATGAATGAGAATAATTAATTACTCAAGCCTTTTCATTCGTTTAGGACCAACTAGGAAAATCCTTTTCAAAAAGGACCCCAAAAAAAAAAAAAACCTATAAAATCATCTTGTCTTCTTTCTTGATCTGTTCCATGTCTGCTATAACTAGGTTTCTTCTTCTTCTTCCTTGATGTGTTCCCTGTTAAAGTAGAACTCAACTAAGAAAAGTCGATTTTCGATAATTTTTTTTTTCCATATAATGGAATTGAAAATATATATATGTTGATTCAATTATTCAGATTACATGCTAAGTCCAAATGTCCAATACAAGGGGTTCTAACAACCTTCTACATAGTTTGTGACAATGTCAACGTACTCTCATTTAAGATAAATGAAAAGAATTCCATCTGCCATCTAGTAGCGTTTTTAATAGATTATTTAATGGACCTTACGGTGGAGGTAATGTGAGTTATTTTAACTTCCTAGGGGCGATGTGAGATTTGACCATACTTTCGAGGGCAGTAGTGTAATTAAGTCTATAAATAATGACCAATGGGGATGTTAGTTGGACTCGCCCAGACTTTTGGTGTGCTCCCAAGTGGCCTGAAGTTTCAACCCCCATGGTATTCGTGTGTGTGAGTTTCCCCCTCCCCTTCTTAACTTTGGCTATAAAAAAAATTCTAGATTATAAATAATGCAAATTCTTGTTCTTAAAAAAAAAAAAAATTATCGTCCATGAAGCATCATTCTGCTCTTGGAGACCCAATTCCACTATATTCATGCATTGAGCTTAGCCTGAATAAATTCATGAACATCTTGAAAATGTCCGTCTATGTAACCTTTATAATTCTTTGTAGATTCTCTCCTTTTTTAGGTCAGAAATTTCTTCGTAGATTTACTTTCACATATAAGATGGCAGAATTGCTATGAAAACTGATAAGATATGCAAAAAGCTACGTATTTTGGTAATAATTTATAAAATTTATTTACCAAACGTATGAATGAGAATAATTAATTACTCAAGCCTTTTCATTCGTTTAGGACCAACTAGGAAAATCCTTTTCAAAAAGGGCCCCAAAAAAAAAAAAAACCTATAAAATCATCTTGTCTTCTTTCTTGATCTGTTCCATGTCTGCTATAACTAGGTTTCTTCTTCTTCTTCCTTGATGTGTTCCCTGTTAAAGTAGAACTCAACTAAGAAAAGTCGATTTTCGATAATTTTTTTTTTCCATATAATGGAATTGAAAATATATATATATGAGAAAAACAATAGAAATCAAATATATTACCTCAAGTCCACATGAGTATACAGCTCAATCAAGAAAGTATATAATTGCAACAACAGTTTCGGGAAGAAGGAGCTAAGCTTTTCTTCCATTTCATTTTGTGTCTGCAATAATTCCAATATAATATTAGTAATAATAATAAACTTCTATAATTAATCAAAAATAAGAAAAAATAAAGAGATAATTTGTATAAATATATACCAGATATTCTTGATTGAACAAATGATCATTAACGTCGAGACAGGCATTGCTTGAGAATTCAAGTGCACCCCACACATTGTCCTCATATTCTCTTTCAGTCAAGACACCATGAAAACCCTCCAAGCCACCCACAGCTCCTTTGATATCAACTTTCTCATTCCATCGGATAGTGAACAAGTCTTTGATGTTTTTGTTTTCAGCACATTGAACATACTGGAGATGCTTTAGACCATCAATGTAATAGTGAAACCTCTCCGTCGGTGACCGGAGGAGGGGATGGTAAATTATTTGTTCGAATCGGTACCTTAACATAAAAAAAGAAAATGTTTGGAATGAAAAACAGTATAATCGTCCACACACATTCTCAGATTCTTAACTATAACAATACGGGTACCGGGAGGTGTGCTGATTAGGCCAAGACCAATTGCCAGTTTCTCACTGTGACCAAGAACTATCTCCTCCTTTCTTTGTTCATCCACATTCTGCATGACCATGCTTGTGTCCGGCACATACCCATTAGATTTCAACTTTTTAAATAGATGTTGTAAATAGTTGTAGATCTCTTTGCTTAGGGGATGGGATCTGTCTCCGGATTGAAAGCTGTGAACTGTTTTGTTAATCTCAATCCAGGTACATGCCTTCTCTTTTCTTATTCCTCTATCTAGCATCAATCTTCTCACTTTTGCCACACCTTGCAAGTCCCCAACAAGCCCATAGAAGTTGGATAGTAACATATAGGCCCCTGCTTCTTCAGGTGCTGATTCAAGTAATTTCTTCCCAACACTCCTTGCTAGCTCCAAATTCTTGTGGGTGCAGCATGAGCTTAAAAATGCTGTGAGAAGCCTTGTGTCCGGCTTTACAGGCATCCTCTCTATGAACTTATAGGCCTCACTGAAACAATTCGATCGCGCTAGGAGATCCACCATGCATGTATAATGCTCCATCATGGGTGCGATTGAGTACTTATGCACCATGGTGTTGAAAACCCTCCATCCTTCTTGTACTAATCCAGCATGACTACAGGCATACAAGGCACCCAAGAATGTGATTTTGTTTGGTGCAACACCTTGCACTTCCATTGTGTCAAATGCCTCCAAAGCTTCTAAGCCCCGGCCTTGTTTTCCATAACCCGTGATCAAAGCAGTCCATGAAATTACATTTTTTAAAGGCATGTTTTTGAAACATAAGCAGGCATCTTCCATGCATCCACATTTAGCATACATGTCAATAATAGCATTTCCAACTGGTAAATACCCCAACTCAAATCCATACTTAATCACCAAACCATGACATTGTTTACCATTACTCAATGCTGCAAGATCGGAGCAGATTGAAAGAACACTAACCATGGTCATAACATCAACTTCAGCTCCCTCCAATCTCATTTTCTCAAAGAAAACCAATCCTGTTCTTCCTTCAGAGTTATGACCGAGACCTGAAATCAACGAATTCCAAGACCCGGCGTCTCTTCTTGACATGTTACTAAACAATTCAATTGCTTCCAGTGTTAAGTGAGACCAACACAACCCAGAAATCATGCTGTTGGTGGCAATGACATCTCTTTGAGGCATTTCATCAAATACAAGCCGAGCTTCTGTGATATTGTTGCATTTAGAGTACATGTCAAGAAGGGACGTCATTAGAATCATGTCTCTATTGAACCCATGTTTGATCGCCATGCAATGAAATTGCTTGCCTTCTTTAATGGCAGCAACTCTTCCACAAGCTCGCACAATTGCTGAGAGAAGAAACTCTGTGATTTTGAACCCATTTTTCAGGACTTGATGAAACAAAACTATTGCTTGACGACTTTGCCCCTGGTGTATGAGATTAGTGATTGTCTTGGCATTTGATAAAGTTCTATGCATCATTTTACTCAAGGTTATTTTGGGAATTGAGTGGAATAGATTACAGTCAAACCATGGCAACCTTCATTTGATATTTTGAATGGATTCTTCATTCTGGCTCTAAACATGATAATTTTACTTATGTAACCCATACCCACCTATCAAAATCCATAATATCCATTTTACCCTTTTTATTATTTACTTGACTTTTTTATTTTATTATCAAATCATTATTTACTGAAATGAAAACTTATTTATTTTTCTCCTCTTATCATTAAATATTCAAATAAATCCAAAATTGTCCTCATTTAAGATCAAGAAGCTAGTCAAATTATATAGGGGACTGATTTTCCCACTCTATTTTTATCCACTTATACTCCATTTTTCTAAACAAAAATAAGTGTATGTGGATAAAAGGGGAGTGGGAAAATCATTTACCATTCTATATGCTCTATGTTGATTCAATTATTCAGATTACATGCTAAGTCCAAATGTCCAATACAAGGGGTTCTAACAACCTTCTACATAGTTTGTGACAATGTCAACGTACTCTCATTTAAGATAAATGAAAAGAATTCCATCTGCCATCTAGTAGCGTTTTTAATAGATTATTTAATGGACCTTACGGTGGAGGTAATGTGAGTTATTTTAACTTCCTAGGGACGATGTGAGATTTGACCATACTTTCAAGGGCACTAGTGTAATTAAGCCTATAAATAATGACCAATGGGGATGTTAGTTGGACTCGCCCAGACTTTTGGTGTGCTCCCAAGTGGCCTGAAGTTTCAACCCCCATGGTATTCGTGTGTGTGAGTTTCCCCCTCCCCTTCTTAACTTTGGCTATAAAAAAAATTCTAGATTATAAATAATGCAAATTCTTGTTCTTAAAAAAAAAAAAAATTATCGTCCATGAAGCATCATTCTGCTCTTGGAGACCCAATTCCACTATATTCATGCATTGAGCTTAGCCTGAATAAATTCATGAACATCTTGAAAATGTCCGTCTATGTAACCTTTATAATTCTTTGTAGATTCTCTCCTTTTTTAGGTCAGAAATTTCTTCGTAGATTTACTTTCACATATAAGATGGCAGAATTGCTATGAAAACTGATAAGATATGCAAAAAGCTACGTATTTTGGTAATAATTTATAAAATTTATTTACCAAACGTATGAATGAGAATAATTAATTACTCAAGCCTTTTCATTCGTTTAGGACCAACTAGGAAAATCCTTTTCAAAAAGGGCCCCAAAAAAAAAAAAAACCTATAAAATCATCTTGTCTTCTTTCTTGATCTGTTCCATGTCTGCTATAACTAGGTTTCTTCTTCTTCTTCCTTGATGTGTTCCCTGTTAAAGTAGAACTCAACTAAGAAAAGTCGATTTTCGATAATTTTTTTTTTCCATATAATGGAATTGAAAATATATATATATGAGAAAAACAATAGAAATCAAATATATTACCTCAAGTCCACATGAGTATACAGCTCAATCAAGAAAGTATATAATTGCAACAACAGTTTCGGGAAGAAGGAGCTAAGCTTTTCTTCCATTTCATTTTGTGTCTGCAATAATTCCAATATAATATTAGTAATAATAATAAACTTCTATAATTAATCAAAAATAAGAAAAAATAAAGAGATAATTTGTATAAATATATACCAGATATTCTTGATTGAACAAATGATCATTAACGTCGAGACAGGCATTGCTTGAGAATTCAAGTGCACCCCACACATTGTCCTCATATTCTCTTTCAGTCAAGACACCATGAAAACCCTCCAAGCCACCCACAGCTCCTTTGATATCAACTTTCTCATTCCATCGGATAGTGAACAAGTCTTTGATGTTTTTGTTTTCAGCACATTGAACATACTGGAGATGCTTTAGACCATCAATGTAATAGTGAAACCTCTCCGTCGGAGACCGGAGGAGGGGATGGTAAATTATTTGTTCGAATCGGTACCTTAACGTAAAAATAGAAAATGTTTTGAATGAAAAACAGTATAATCGAAAAAAAAAAGCAATAAATAAATAAATAAATCGGCAAAGTTCTTACCACTCCCTTTCGCAACGGATCATGTTAAAAAAGTGAGATAGCTCTACTGTTCTTCTATGATTTTTCCCCAGTATTGCTTCCATTAAAAGTACAAATTCTTGCCTATAACTTCTCAAAACAGTTTCAGGATTAGCAGCAATTGGGATATTGGCTTCATAGTTTTCATCGATTTGTATGTTGTCAACATCCAAAGGGCCACGCATTATACCCTTCAACTCCAGTCGGACAATGGACTTAATAATAGACCTTCAAAAATTAAATTAAAATCTGAATAAAGAAATCTTTTATAATAAAAAATTATATTGTAGTTTGAAAAAACAAGCGTAGACTAAAAATATTACCGAATTATTTTTTGATACACATCTTGAACACGATTATTCTGCCATGGATCTGTCTTCCCCAACATCTGACTTAAGGTGCAAGGAGCAAATTCGTTTGGTGCCATGTTTTCTTGGTAAAGACCTGATCACAGCAATGTCACAAAATAATAGTTCAATTCAATATTTATTGAACAAGAAGAGACCAATTATAAAAAATAAAAAAACATCCTTTTTGGTCCTAAAAGGACACAAAAAGACATATTTCAATCTCAAATAACATCTAAGTTTTAGTATATTATATTATTTTGGTATAAAAGTTTCAAATAATTCAAACTAGGTTTCTTCATAGTCTAAACTACAAGGGGAGGGGGATTCTCACACGCACACCACGGCGCCATTTGGGTTCGACCGGAGACCACTAGCATGCAAATCAATGTCTTTTTCCACTAGATTACACCCAATTGGCTTCAAACTAGGGTTTTAAGCCGACAAGCGCAACATCAAAATATATTGGAAGACAAATTGATTTATAAAAGAGTGAGAGAGCGCAAGTTCTCGAAAGCACTAATAATTTTCTGGATGAACCAAAGAATTTATTAGAACGTACAGAAAAGAGGAAGACCTTAAAACTACAAGGCAAGGAGCCCAAGTCAAAAAAACAACAACGTCACAGAAAGAGACCAATTCAATCACACAAAATACAAGAGGCTAGAACGAAAATTCAACAAGCACAAAAAATATTTTGTTAAAAAACCCCAAAAAAACATCAAGAAAGAACTACCAAGAAGAGTTATAAGAGGCAAGAGTGCAAGAGAGGAAAGTTACCAGTGAGAAATTCCATACCTTTTGATCAGAGAAGAATTGAAGTGGAGAGGAAAGAGATCTTAGGGATAATTGAAACGAGAGGTAAAAAGTGTTGAGTAATATATATATATATAGGATGGAAATTGAAAACACAAGTTACACAGCACACGACTTTCCCTATGCTTGTCGAACAAGGATTCCTAGTTTTGCTCTCCTCATCACATAAAGAAAGTGTTGCTAAAATAAATAAATGAAGGGATTTGCTTCTTTTTGTTTGTATTCTTTATATTTTTGGAATTTTTTTCATTAAGACGCCTTGTTCACCAAGAAGTAAAATATTAAATGGGTAAGGCATTAGGATTAGCCCAAAAAAGTCTTGGAGGATAAGAACTTACCAGTCTTTAAATAGGTAAGTTTTTTATCCTTGAAGGAGTGGTGAAGTAATGAAATAAGATTAGGATAGATCAAGAGTTCAATTCCCTTTTAAATCGGTGAACTTTCATTAAATTTTCTCATGTTATACTCTCGACCCACCCCTAAAACAAGCACATAAATCCGTCACTTCCTCAATGGACAAAACAATTGAAAATTTTGCAATATAATGACAGAAAAAATTATTTCTACTGCCCTGCTATTGGATCCATCCAGGATGTTAAAAGCACAAGGATGTACAAGAAGTTCATATTCACATATCCAAGCAACCACTAATTCATCATTGACTTTTACAACGATTTACTTGTTCAGGAGCAAAAACTACAAAGATGAAAGCAGATACAGAAAAGCCAAAGTTCACCTATAAGACCATCTCCGATCTTCGCCATCATCACTTTGATCAACATCATAATCAAAGTCATCACCATGATCATTCTCATCATACATATCATCTTCTAAAAAGTCATTGTCTTCTAAACCCTTCGGTTCTGAAGATTTTTCACTGGAACTCTCATTTTCTTCTGATTCATCATCGGAGGTGTCACTCTCTGATTCCTCTTCAGATATCTCTTCCGGATAATCATTGAGCGGGTTGTTTTCAGCTGAAAACCACCAAAATCGGTCAGAACTTGAATAAAGAGAACTTTTTTAAATAGCATATATGAAAGATTATTTATGATCACCATTAGAATCATCAGTATCATATTCTGATTCATCAGGCCCGTCACATAAATCCTCGTCATCAACTTGTACCCTGAATCAAGGTTATTAGTTAGTTTCAGCAAGAAATAAGGTTGAAACTTAACAAATGTGGTACAAAGATACTACAATGGAAATGACTTTGAAGAATCTTCAGCATCTATATCCATTTCCTCCTTCACAGCATACAAGTCATATACATACCCATCTTCGAATGCTACACAACACATAATAGGAACCCATCAAACAGTAGTTAAGAATATAATGAAAAAGCTGAAATTGATATATACATCTCCACAAGAAGCAACTGCAAGTGCAGACCCAGGACAATATGCTATTAAGAATCCGATTCTTCTACCTTTGCTCCAACTAACATCAAATATTAAGTGGATGATAGCACCCAAGGCCACTAATAATTCATTTACATGTAAAAAACAACCTTCTTTGGAGCTGTTAGCAGATAAATCTGATTCAATCTCCGAAGCAGCACTTGGAATGAACTCTCTCAGTAGAGGCAAGTAACTATTTAACATCCTCTGGTCCTCCAAAGATATCTCACTGCATTAAAAACATAGGGAGTATCATTTTCAACTAGTCTCTTGGAAATACACAAGGGCAAGAGCTCATGAGTAGAGAACTTACTCCTCCTGTTGCAACTCATTAGATATTTCCTCGACATCAACACGAATAACATCATAGAAATGACACATTTCATGTAATTTCTCATGTGATGTTTCTTTGTTTCCCTTTCTGCTCCTCCATATTTGTTCAAAACGTGCATTTTTCGCAACAACCTAACCGAAAGAACTCGAAATAAGACAGCTCCCAAGAAGAAATTACAGAACAACTTTCACCAAATACATATTATTTCTTCTTTCTTATTCTCAATGTATAAGGTTAGTAGTGGTACAACTGCCTCAGAATACCAATCTTAACTCCGAACAATGAATCAGAAAGTTGGGCAATCTAACATATAGAAAGATATCTAACTAGATGCATGTAACTTCAAGGGTAGGAAGATTTGAATTTATCCTAAATAATGGTTTAGAAATAGACAAAGCTTAGAATACTCCATGATTGTTAGCAGATGAATTAATAAAAAAAATTCATGGGAACTAGCATAGAATTTAGAGTTTCATGATCTCAATTTGAAACACATTATTAGCAACTCACTGCCTGACAATGATTATTATCACAAGCAAAATATTGAACTAAGAACATATGGACAATAAGCTAAGCAAAACAAAAAGAACACAGAGCATGAAAAAGTTTAATGCATCATTATCCTCCAAGAGATGAAAGAACAAATCATACTATTGGAGGCACATGAACAAGAGATAACAAATACTTTACTTGGTGGGTTAATTTATACAGATAACATATACTATGCCACATACCTCCTGTTTCTGTCTAGCTTTAGACAAAATCTGATCTTGTTTCTGCTGTTACAATGGTAATGAAAGTATAAGTTCATGTCATCTATGGCTCGTAAATAGAAGCGAAGTTGTAATAAAGTGCATAAGACCAGGAGGAGAAGGAGACGTGGAGCTTACATTCTCCTTTTTAAAAGTATGTTTGCGTTCTTCACTCCTTGTTTTATGATCACACACATCATCGGAATTTAGGTCCTAAAAGAAACAATGAGACAATTTCCCCAACTTCTTAGTAGTAGCGACATGAGAATCAAAGACAGCATCATACATGGTACTCCTGAACACATGCTTGTGTGAAACAGTACACAAAACAAGAATAGTTATAGAACAAAATCAACAGGGGACTGCCATACTCACCACGAACGATTTCACAACATCAACAGTGGTGTGAAAGCTGCTTACTGTCTCTACATGCTGCACGAAAACCTTCTTGGTCTTCAATTCCTCTGCTGCATTAAAAATACAAGAAATCAGCACTGTATATTCCTGGGGTTCTAAAACTTTCCATCTACTTACGAAATCTGCAAAAGTACAAATTCCTTCACTAGTTGAATGGAAACAACCATAAATGGAAAAACAAGAAGAAGAAGAAAAAAAGCAACAATGTAGATTGCTAATAAATAGAACCTTTGATATCACCAGCTAATCAGATTCTGCAGACCGAATCATAATCCATTAGCAATATAGTCTACTTATAACATCAAATTATCCAACTACTCATAATTCTTTGTTCACCACAACTAAAATTATTATTATTATTAAAGAGAGAAAACAAAAAATGCTGTGTTTGTACACACATATGCATAAAAGACACTGCTAGAGAAATAAGAGCACCATTTTTTACCCTTTGCAGCTGAATCAGACATCGAAAGGTTCTCGAAATCCAGTAACGGACGCTTCTGCGGCCTCTCATTGATTTTCAGCCCTACATTAAAAAAAAGTTGCAAAAATTATTCAGCAATTTCAGTTTTTTAGAAATTCAAGCAAATTTATTTTCTATTTCCCTACAGTTTCTCGGCAACCAAAATGGAAAGAAGAAAACTGGACACAAAGCGCTACTCACAGAAAGCATCAAGTGGAGACTGTAGTGCTTTGCGTTTAACCCTAACGATCACGGGCTTGTCTTCCGGAGACTTAGCCAAAGCTGAAGAGCTTTCGCCGACCACGGCCATATTGAGCTACAATTTGAATTAGGGTTTTGAGTGGAGGCAAGCAATTGACGACGAGCAGCGCACTGTGGATTCTGTAGAGGCTTTCGACCGGTGAGGGATTCTGCAGTTAAGGATCGAACCGAAAATGGACGGGACGGGGCGGGCTGTCAATGGGTCGGGTTGATGTAGGCTTAGGCCCACTAACATGGCCTTGGGCTAAGCAAAAACATTCTGGGTTGGGCGAGTTCAAGTTTTCTCATGTCCATACTATATTTTTTTTTTTTTTTTTTTGACAAATCGATATCCTAACAAGTCATGTAGGGGAAAATGGATCGAAATTGAGTGTAGAAGGATGGCCACACTATTTTGGCCAACTGACTTAACCCACATATGTTATTTTACTGGACTCAACAATTATCGTCCAGGTGAATAAGTGGAGATTGAATTCCACTAAATCAAATGGTGATTTGCCACAATTATCAAGTTAAAGAAAAAAGAAAATGGATGCATTCTATAATTTCTACTTGAATTAAGATTTGTAGTCTCCTATCTGCACTAGAGAGCCCATGAGGTTTTTCCCAATGGGCCAATGTTAAATGAACCTTGTATTGTCAAAGATGTATGCATGCAGGCTGTTGGATTGTTGCCATTGGAGATTAATTCCAGGTGACTAGTGTTTTAGCTTCTTTTTTATTGAGGGTTTGAGGGTTTTGTTGGTCTTATATTAATGAATATGTTAATTTTCTACACGCTATGAGCTCCAGTGAATAATGAATTCACTACAAGTAGTTATGTAGTGGAACCACCACTGCGGCACTGCCCATCCTATCAGGGACGGACCCACAGTGGGGTCAATGGGGTCAAGCGACCCTATGGACTCCATGGAAATAAGCTTGAAGGTCCCTTTAAGCTGACTGTGCGACCCCATGGATGCCCTCCACTTGCTTGTTGTTTGGCCTGAACAAAATGGCTGCTGCACGAGGAAGAAGAAGAAGAAGCAGGGCGCTGCTTCATTTTTTGTTAAAATGCTGGGTAAAACGACGTCGTTTTAGCCCAGCGAATTTCTTTCTTTTTTTAAATGACCTGGCCAAAACGACATCGTTTTGGTCCAGGTCTTTAAAAATAAAAATAAAAACAGCCCAGCTATTCTAATACCCCTCCACACCCGATCCCGGCAACGCCCAAAACCCCAATTCTTTAGTCCTGAACCCTCCATCCCTCCCCCCAGTGGCGGAGCCAGGAATTTAAGTAAGAGGGGGCACCCTTAACAATTCAAACACTTTCTTTTATAACAAATCAACCTAGTTTTTAAAAATGCCTAATTTTATCACTTTTCTCTATTTTTTTTTTCTTTACTTTTTGTATGAACAATCTATCACTCTTTTATGATAACAAAATACATGCAATTCAAAAGAAATTTAGACATGAAAATGAAAGAGAAACAAAGAAAATAGTGGCCATTAAAGAATTTGTGAGGAATTTTATAATATTTGTACAATTTCCTAATATAAAATTGAATGTATAGCAATATTTGAGAGGGGGCCAGTGCCCACCCTGGGCATGCACTGGCTCCGCCACTGCCTCCCCCCCAGCCACACACACACACACACAACAAAACCTTTAACCCCCATCTCCTCAATTGTTGCCGCCACTGCCAAAAGCTTGCTGCCACATCCACCACATAACAATTCAAGTAAATTCTAACTCTAAGCCTAAATTAATTGAATTGAAATTATTATTTTATTATTTTATTTCGATTTATTGGATGTTTCATATATGAATTTTTTTGTAGTTCATTGGTACAAATTTAGTGTTCTCTTTAATTGATGTGAGTTATTACTTCGAAACAAAATGGAAGATCAATTGTTGAGTGATAATTTGCTTGTTTACGTTGAGAATGATATTTTTGCTTGTATTAAAAATGAAGTTATAATGCTACGTTTTCAAAATATGAAATCTCGTCCTGGACAATTGTAGTTTGTAATGTTGTTTTTTTATATGAATTATGAATGAACGTTTCATTTCTAATGTTATTTTGATCTATAAAAAATTTCGAACTTTTACACTATGACCCCATAAGGTAAGATTTCTGGGTCCGTCCCTGCATCCTATGTAATTAACAGCATACATCCTTGTTTAGGTCAGTGGTCTACGTGCTAGTGGAAGACTTCCAACCAGATATTACGTACAGTAACAACTGAGAGTCTCTGGCTCCTGCGTGAGCGACCCGACTAGCAAAATCTCATTCTTATGCACACTAGGTTTGGCAAAATCCCATTCCATATATTGATATTGATCTTTCGCCCTTGCGGCGCGTTTGGTTTACTGAAAGAGAGATGAATTTCCTAGCAAGTTATCATGATCGTTTGCCGACCCGAGAAGGGTGACTCCCAACTTTTTTCTTGGGTGTAACTTTATGTCAACTCTGCTGCATTGCATGTGTGGACCTAATTAGTTAATTAATCAAGGAGCATAATAAGCAAGTGGTATAGAGCCCCTCATGTCAAGCTTAACTATATCAGATTGGAAATTTTTTCTTGAATTGGTCCACCCAATGGAAATAGCAATGCCACCAACGGAAAAAGCTAAAGAACAAGCTAATATTACTTTTCCTTTTTCTTTTCAACACACAAACAAAGCCTACATCTCTGACTTAGTAAATGGCTTTATAGGTGGTCACCATGATTGCACCTCCCAAGTGAGAGATACTTCTAGTAAGTGGAACACTAGCTAGCCTTGCTATGTTTGCATCCCAGAGTATGAATTCTTATGTTAGAAAGACGGTAGCCGGCCCACTACTAAGAATATTTATATTGTACCAAATTTAATTACTTACAAAATCCAAGTGAGGTTTTATCACAAGAAGATCTCGATGGTAGCCATTCATTATATGTTGTATTTTATTTAGTCAAATTTTCACTGTGAAACTTATATTCTTCAACATAAATTCTAATAAAAAATTAACTACCTAACCAGATATGTAACTGTATTTCCACTTTTAATTTTGAAGGTTAAACACTAGCTAGCAATGATATCATCTCATGTTACAAATTTTCAAAGAAAGGCCATAGTGGCCAAGTCAATATTAACTGAGGAAGGTCCATAGATATAATGATCAGTTACGGGAAGTTAAGTAGGATCCACCAAACCAAGGCGTTGCCCACTAATTGTGTCATAAGTCACACTCGTAATTAGACCGTGTTTGTACCATATCTGACCCTCCACTCGTACAACGACACGTGGATCTCATAAACTCGCCCAAGCACCCAAGGCCTCGGACAATCGGCATAGGCTACTGATGATATTGTCTCAAAGCAGCAAAAGATCATTACAGGGCCCAACACAGCCTACAATCGGTATCCCCTACCGATTCTGCAGAATCAACCTCGAAGCACCCGCCTGAAATATCTAAGGACTCGTGTCAAACTCATAGGGCCCTCCCACGAGTCCCACATCGAAAATGAGCGCTAAGAGCATACTAAATGCCCTCTATAAGTATGCCCCTCCCACTACAATACAGGGGTAAGACTTTTCAGCTTGACTTTTATACTTCTATATGGTCAACAGCAAGAGCTCTTAAAAACAATCTTACTTGAGCATCGGAGGGTCTTAGGCTGGTTCCACACCGGTTCCATAGACTTTACGAGCTTCGCTTATCTTCTATTCAGGATCAGCATCCAAGGACAGGAAGAATCGGCATCCAACACCCAATCGATCTCTTGATCGTCCATCCCACTTGTAAGTTGCACTCATCTCTATCTATTCAAGATTTAGCGCCAACAGACCGGTAAACATTTCAAATCCTAATTCTAATATGAAATATTTTTGCTTATCACTTTAACCCAATGTGTATTCTAACTATTATTTTTAACACTTGACACATGTTCATGGGTCTAACCATATAGTTAACTTTTTGCTTTGTATTTGCGGAACTATGGTTATGCTCATGAACACCTATCAAGTGTTGAGAAGGGATGGTGATGGTGTTGTTGAGAGTGTTTGTCCCACATTGAAAAGTTAAGGGACCAAGCCTGGGTTTATAAGGAGTTGGGCTACTCCCCCCATTGCCAATTGGTTTTGGAGTGGAACCTCAACTTCCTTCAGGTGTACCTTGAGTTAAAGTGATGAGTAAAAATGCTTCCAATTCTAATAGGAGGTCTCACAAGAATAGTGACTGGTCGATTATTTTTAGAGGGAAAATACTTCCCTCCTTATCATGTAAGTAGGAGTTTCTACATTCCTGTCAATGGCAGTGTGACAATGCAAGGGCGGCCTTGAGGGTGTGCAAGTGATGCCATTGCACATGGCCCTCAATTTTTAAAAGCCCGAATTTTTTTTACGTGTATATTATATATTTACTTGAGCGTGCATGAGAATAGCACAAGTGTGTATTTGGTTTAGTTGGAATTCAACGCCTTGATTTTAGTAGGTAAGTTGGGTATGAGTCCGTATTGTGTCATTCAATAGTTATATTTTTACATTTAGACACTTTTTTTATTTTAACAATATAAAAAATAATGAAAAACATGTCCCAAAAAAAAGAGGAAGGGCCTTGGAACACGTCAAAGAAGAGGAAAGCAATATATACTTTGTATTTGCGGAACTATGGTTATGCTCATGAACACCTATCAAGTGTTGAGAAGGGATGGTGATGGTGTTGTTGAGAGTGTTTGTCCCACATTGAAAAGTTAAGGGACCAAGCCTGGGTTTATAAGGAGTTGGGCTACTCCCCCCATTGCCAATTGGTTTTGGAGTGGAACCTCAACTTCCTTCAGGTGTACCTTGAGTTAAAGTGATGAGTAAAAATGCTTCCAATTCTAATAGGAGGTCTCACAAGAATAGTGACTGGTCGATTATTTTTAGAGGGAAAATACTTCCCTCCTTATCATGTAAGTAGGAGTTTCTACATTCCTGTCAATGGCAGTGTGACAATGCAAGGGCGGCCTTGAGGGTGTGCAAGTGATGCCACTGCACAGGGCCCTCAATTTTTAAAAGCCCGAATTTTTTTTACGTGTATATTATATATTTACTTGAGCGTGCATGAGAATAGCACAAGTGTGTATTTGGTTTAGTTGGAATTCAACGCCTTGATTTTAGTAGGTAAGTTGGGTATGAGTCCGTATTGTGTCATTCAGTAGTTATATTTTTACATTTATACACTTTTTTTATTTTAACAATATAAAAAATAATGAAAAACATGTCCCAAAAAAAAGAGGAAGGGCCTTGGAACACGTCAAAGAAGAGGAAAGCAATATATACAGCTTTACTTTTATGAATTTGATTTATGAAATTATGATTGCCATTGCATTCTAATAGATGATGAATTTTAGTTATTAAAAAATAATTGTTTTATGGTATTAAGTCATGATAAATTTTTATTATAAATAAAAGAGACAAGCAATATCATTTTTAGTGCATGTCTAGCAGTAAGGTTACATATTAGAACTTCGAGGTCATTTTGGCCTCCCAAAATGATATTCATCGAATCTAGCCTCTCACAATTTTTGTTGTTCGTGAGGAGGCTCGGGGGCTAAAGTACTCATTTAGAATGTGTTGGTCACACCGTCCCAAAATATGTCGGTCACTTGATGAACATATCGTTGAATTGAATACATATCACGAAACCCGCTGCTAAATAAAATATGACCATCAGAATGCTCTCTCAAAACAATGCTTTTGCCTTGCCATATGGCGCTCTCCTATTGGAGTGGCTAGAACCTACACACGGTCTTGTGCCACATTTCTTGTGTGCTCCACCACCAGTTCGGGCTTGGGCTTGGCCTAAATTGGCCCCCCACATAGCCCGGGCATCAAATTTATTAAGCCGAAATTCGGTCAATTTTATAATGAGGCGGCTATATTGAAAGGGTGTTTTGAGGGATTCAATCGAGTTGTCTAATAATATAAACCTCACTCCTATTTTTATCATTTGTGGCTTTTTTTTATATAGAAATTCTAGGATTGCATTTATAATTCAGTCAAAAAAGCCATTAGCCACAAGGGGCCAAAACAAACTAGCCACAAAGAGCGATTACAATAACGGAGCGGTTTAACATCAAAATTAAGACAATCTGGTGTGCCTCCACTAACGATCATGCAGGATCGAATAAACTCTGGCATAGGCATCCCAACTAAGATTGCAAACTCAGAATAATCAAAAATAGATAAAGCTTGAAAAAACCAAGCCATAACAATACAAATAAAACTTTCACAAAGGAGAGATAAAAAGCTCTCACAAAGGAGAGGTGAAATGCTCTCACAAAGGAGAGGTGAAATGCTCTCACAAAGGAGAGGTGAAATGCTCTCACAAAGGAGAGGTGAAATGCTCTCACAAAGGAGAGGTGAAATGCTCTCACAAAAGGAGAGGTGAAAACTACATAGAGAACCCAGAGTCTCTGTTACTTATTCCGAACATAAAGAAACCGCAAAAAGGATGGTGGTGGAGATCCGACGCCGAAACGCAGATGGAGACATGCTCTTAATAAGTACATTATAACATATCCTTAAAGTATAAAATCTTTAGTGGTGGAGGGCGTACATGCGCTTACTCCCTCCTCACAATCACCTCATCATATGAGTAGCATCTATCCAATAATTGTTGATCAAATTTTAAGTCCTTAAAGGAAGTTGAGCATTAACCATCCTAAAAAAATCTTATGAAAATGCCAAAAACTCAAGGGAGGAATGAGAATAAACCCAAGGGAGGAATGAGAATAGACAATTACTTCTAAGCCACAAACTCCTCGTAAAAGAATACTTCTCAAGATTTCTAACTCAAGTATTTGTCACTGCCATTCTTTAGAGCAGTTCAAGCGGTGGATTGCAGCCCAGTCAGAATAAGGCCCAAGCCCATGGAAGCGCTTCTAGCGGGCCACGCTTGCCAAGGCAAGCTGTGGGACCCACGTAACCGGGCCAACCCGCAGGCCAAACCAACCTGACCTCTAGCCTGGGTTTGCTGACGTTAAAGGAAGTTGAGCATTAACCATCCTAAAAAAATCTTATGAAAATGCCATAAACCCAAGGGAGGAATGAGAATAAACCCAAGGGAGGAATGAGAATAAACCCAAGGGAGGAATGAGAATAGACAATTACTTCTAAGCCACAAACTCCTCGTAAAAGAATACTTCTCAAGATTTCTAACTCAAGTATTTGTCACTGCCATTCTTTAGAGCAGTTCAAGCGGTGGATTGCAGCCCAGTCAGAATAGGGCCCAAGCCCATGGAAGCGCTTCTAGCGGGCCACGCTTGCCAAGGCAAGTTGTGGGACCCACGTAACCGGGCCAACCCGCAGGCCAAACCAACCTGACCTCTAGCCTGGGTTTGCTGACGTCAGTGATGACATCAACAACAAAAAAATATTTTTAAAAATACTAAAAATTTCAAAAAATTTTAAAATAAATACTTAGTCATATTCTTCACTTCCCACACCAAAACTCTATATAAATTCCTCTCATCATATCTCATGTGAATAGTGATTGCAATGACAATGGGTGGAAACACCACAACCTTTTGCAATGGCTACCATTCACGTGAATAGTAACAGCCATTACCTTGCCCTTACCCTTTGCCATGACAAATGGGTGGAAGTGCTTTTAAAGCTTCCGTTTGGATGAACATGAGCTATTCCCATTCTTTGGATATGGGTTGAAATTTTGAGCTGGCTGGCCCACATGGTATATCATGGATGATGTCACATATGATTAAATGTAGAATGGGCTTTCTCCATCTCTTGCCTTTATGACGATGGCACTAGAGTATGAGAAGCACGAAATCTAGGATATGGAGCTGGACAATCTAAGTAGCTGCAGCCACCAGTTTGCACACGTCTCATTCCAGAGCCATATGATGCCAAAGGCTAATAAATGCATTATTTTTGTAATATAAGCGATAGTTTAAACTAATCTAAATTAACTCTAATTGACATTGAGGGTGATCCAAACTTAGGTGAAAGGGGTCACACTCACTTACATGGCTACACTTCTAGCAAACCTCAAAAAGAGCCACTGATGATTCTAAACCAATAATAGGAAAGGCCACAATGTACTCGTGGCCTAACACTCGTCTACATAAATACCCTTCTTATTAAGTCTTAGTCTCAAGTCTCTTATTAGATTCTTCACTCTGTGTCAAATGATTTTGGTTTACATCTTACAATGATAACAGTCTCACTAGCATTTAATTGTAAGTGCTTCATTTACACAATAAATTCATCCCCCAATCCTCCTGCTCTCCTCTTTATTGGTTGCAAATGACGACAATAAATGTTGGATTATTTTTTTGGGTGGAAAATAAGTGACAGTATGTTATTTATGAACAAAGAAAAATACAAAGTAACTATGTGTCGAAAATGGGTAAATCTTTATTGATCAAATACAACAACATGTTGAATTGATTTGAAGAGAATCACGCACAACCCAAACAATGACTAAATCCTTGATCCAGCAACCAACAACCAGAAGCACATGTACGCAAACCTACAATACAAATCTGCCCCGCAACTACAGAAACAGCAAATCCGCATCGAAATCAAAAAACAAAAAATAAATAAAAATCCTAAATATTAAAACAAAACTAAGAAACAGGACCACCGCTCCGCATCTTTCGGGCAACTCGAAGTATTTAATCGAATATACCGTCACTAATTAGCTAAGTATTTTTATTATTACTTTTTATCCCCTAACTCCACCCTATTCCGAATATGGGAAATTACCTTTAGAATAGTTACTTAGCTAATCTTCAAGTTGACTTAATTAATAACCAATTCATTCAAAAGTGTACCGTACTTAGTTATAGGGTCAAATGGTTATTAACCAATTGCTGTATAACACTAATTCAAGTTGACTTGATTAGAGGACACTTTGATTTCAATAAGCATGTCTTATTTTTATTTTTATTAACAGGGAAAAGGCATATATGAACTTAAGACTTTTTCTAACATTGGAGACAAGAAGTGGTATCGAACTTGTTCGAGTGCATGTACGTATAACATTTGTCGTCAGAAATGGTGGTGTCAAAACCCACCTACACCACCAGCATCAAAACTCCAGAACAAACAAATACCTTATTCATACATGAAGAAACAAACCAATGAAAAATGAAAGGGAAAACTATGTTCCAATGGTATGCAAGAAGAGAAACGTGAATCAATAGTGTGCAAGAACAAACAAATTATATTGTTTGTGGGTTACCAATAGTATGCGAGAAGGGAAACGTGAGGCCATCCTTCCACAACGAGAACCAAAGGCTATATAGCCTATGATAATCTTCCACACACAAAGATGCCAAAATTACTCTCACACGTTTACAGTAGAAATCAAATCGTAAGTCAAATTGATGTACAAATAAATAACCAAATCATAATCAAATCATAATCAATGTTAAGTTAAGTTCTTTTTTTTCTTTCCCCAGAATGTTAAGGGAAAAAGACTTTGAAAGAAAAAGAATATTACGATAGTATGGTCACGTAATATAATTGGATATTTATTGATACTATTCTCTAAAAAAAGGTTAAATAAACTCTGTATATACCATGTGGTCATACTATCGTAGTATTGATACTATTCCCTAAAAAAAGGAAAGAGACATTGAATTAGAAAGTAAATCAACCTAGAACCTGCTTTCTTTGTTTGTTTTTCCATGTAATAATGGGTTGAAATTGTTAATACAAAGTCAAAAATACAATCAAAGGAGAAAATAAAGGAATTAAACAATAAGCAAAGTAGAAAATAAATGTTCAATTATATTTTCCTAATAAAAGCAAAACCTATATCAATGGTTACACACTTGAAACTAAGGATATAGCTCCTCCCTCTGTTGTTATATGTCACTTGTAACTCTCATTGATCAAACGGACATAAAAACTCTTGTGGTCACTCTCGTTTTGCCAGAATTTCTGACTTATTGCTTACTCTTTTCACACAACACCGCTCTCCTCCTACCTCCTCTCCAAAGCCTAATAAATAGGTACACCACGCTTTATAAACCAATCTTCGGCACAGCAAAAAATAGTTTCCACTCCAACTCTTAATATATTTATCCTATCATGTCTTCTTCTTCTTCTTCTTCAACAGCTCTCCAATGGCTAAGCCTTGTGGGAATAATATGGCTCCAATCCATCAATGGAACCAACACCAATTTCCCAGCTTACTCATCCCAGCTCAAAAACGTCCTCTCCATGTCCCAACTACAGCTCAACAATCTGGCCTTTGCCTCTGATGCTGGAAAGCTCTTGGGTTGGTTTTCAGGCATTGCTGCTCTCTACTTACCCCTTTGGCTTGTCCTTTTGATCGGTTCGCTTCTCGGGTTAATCGGCTATGGCATCCAGTTCCTCTTCATCACAAACCAAATCCCATCTCCCTCCTATTGGCAGATTTTCCTCCTCACTGTTGTTGCTGGCAATAGCATCTGCTGGATCAACACTGTCTGCTATGTTGTCAGCATTAGGAACTTCCCATGTCACCAGCAGATTGCTGTGGGGATAACAACAAGTTACCAAGGACTGAGTGCCAAGATCTACACAGATATTGTTGGTGCTGCATTTTCTTCCTCGCCTCAGAGAAAAGCCAAGGCCTATTTGCTTTTGAACGCTCTGTTGCCACTTGGGGTCGGCGTTGTCGTGGCGCCATTGGTTAGAGATATTGGTGTAATGGGAGGACCAAGAAACATGGAAGCTGGGTTTATTTCGATGTTTCTGATAACAATTGCCACCGGAATCTACGCCGTGATCAGCAGTTTAGGGTCGATTTCTAGCGGGTTATCTCCCCTGAAAAATGTGATAGGTACCGGTGTGTTCCTATTGGCCCCGTTGGTAATTCCAATCGTTGAGAAAATGAGAGAAAATTTGTCAAAAAAATGGAACTTAAACAGAGAGAGAAGAGTGTATAGTTTTACCATGGAGGAGAAGAACAATGGCATAGGGAGCTTAGAAATTGTGGCAGTGAAAGAGGGAGAAGAGTTAGATGGTACCATGGAGGAGAAGAACAATGGCATAGGGAGCTTAGAAATTGGGGCAGTGAAAGAGGGAGAAGAGTTAGATGGTAGGCAGGTTCATGAGCCTTGTGTTAGAGAGGAGATTGGAGTGAAGTTGATGGTGACAAGGCTAGATTTTTGGTTGTATTTCTTTGTGTATTTTTTCAGTGCAACACTTGGGTTGGTGTTCTTGAACAACTTGGGACAGATAGCAGAGTCCCGTGGCTCATCCAGGACTTCATCTCTGGTCTCTCTATCCTCTTCTTTCGGGTTCTTTGGGCGCCTCATGCCTTCTCTTCTAGACTATCTCTTCTCAAGGTAACCCCTCCCTTGATCATATCTCATAAGTCTCGTATGTTATATTGTCAGACAATCAATCGGCACCACACATTAAAACAAAAACTCAGCGTATAAATGGTCCGAATTGAGCGTCCCATAACAAAATAATATGTTATACTATGTGACAAGAGAACATAATTTTAATAAATTTTTTATTTTTCCAGGAGCAAGTATACGATTTCAAGGCCCGCGTTGATAGTGGCATTGGTGGCTCCAATAGGAGGGGCTTTCTTTTTGCTTCTCAACCCAGCAAGCTTCTCCCTTTTCATCGGCACAGCCATTATAGGAGTGTGCACTGGAGCAATAACTTCAATTGCAGTCTCCATAACCACAGAGCTGTTTGGGACCAAGAATTTCTCTGTGAACCACAATGTGGTGGTGGCAAATATATCAATAGGGTCCTTTGTTTTTGGCTACTTGTCCGCTATTTTTTACCGCAAGGAAGGAAATCAAGAAGATGGGAAGTGCATGGGAATGGCTTGCTACAGAAACACTTTTGTCATCTGGGGTTCTCTTTGCTTTCTTGGGACTGGCCTAGCTTTAGTGCTTTTTGCACGAACACGAAAATTCTACTCCCAAAGATCATAGAATCTGTTTTTTAATTTATAAATCTTTTATTTTTAGAAACATTTATAGCTGTGTACAGGGATGACAAATTGGCCATGTTGGTATTTATTGCATCCCAAAAAGAAAAGAAAAGAGAAGCAATTACAGTATAGGAGGTAGTTAGATGTTGATCTAACTCTTTAGGTAGTAGCTAGCTAATGACCAACCTTTGTTGTTTGTTACACATGTATTATTAAGAAGTTTTGCAGCATCATATCCATTTTCCCATATAATTTTACCAGTAATCTCGTTTAATTTCTAGATTCTGGACAAAATTGCTTTACTCTAGTATTATCCAAAGAAACTTTACATAATCAATAGTTCTAAATAACAAGAACTCTCCAACATAATAGGCTAGAGGGGTTTGGTTTTAAATTTTGTTTTTAAAATTTTTTTATTTTTTTTTCTATCAAACAGTATCGAGGCTGCAGTTATAAATTACACTAATACAACTACAAAAGCCACAATTGCCACTACAATTACCCATAAAAGGGTCAAAATCACTACTCACAAATACGGAGAGATTCATCGACGATATCAAACTCATACAATATATTTCCACTTAAAGCCAAACAATATGACATAACTGCATGTCTGGAAAATGTGTGGAGCATATATTTCTTGTTTAGGAAAATGTTTGCAGCATGTATTTGAATAAGAGTGAATAATTTGGCTGCCAATGTAAAAAATCGTGCTGTATTGTCTTGTCTCTCATGGCATTTATTTCACCTTTGACCCAAACAATGATATGACTATATATGAATTGGGTCCAAACGGAAAGACAGGATTGTATATGGATAATTAATGTCGAATCAATAGCCTTTCAGATTAATGTAAGGGTAAATCATTAAATCTTATAGATCCACTAATTAAGTTACGTAATAAAGCTTCTCACAAGGAAAAAACATATTTGTTTTGACGTTTACGACCAAAAAAAAAAAAA